GATCACGTCCAAAGAATTTCTACCATAATGAATAAAAAAATTAAATTTCAAGTTAAACATAGTTTTGCTTCAAAAATATGTATGGGACGGATGACAGTCATGACTGAAATTGCCTTCCTCCCCAGTGAAAAACTAATAGGGTCCCCCTCTTTGCGGGGGCCCTAGAGGTTGGCGACAGGATAAAGGTCTGCGCAATATTTCTGCGCACCGAATTGGTGTCACTGCCCTTGGGGAAAAGAGTCGGGTGCCGAGCGGTCTGATGTGCAAGTTGAAACAAATCCCTACTGGTTTCTTGAGACGGTTATGGGGGGGGGTGCCATTTTTTTTATCAGGAGTGGTTTATTTTGGTTGACTGACCTAATCGAAAATACAATTTTTAATATACATTTCAACACGCGTCTACTATTACTCCATTATATTTTTTAGAGTTATATGATGAAAAAATAGTATACATACAGATATTACATTGTCTTCGTAGTCTACACGTAAAAAGCCTCATGTAGACTACACGTAGATCACGCGTAGGCGTAAAATTTTAGTCTACGGCACAGCTCAGGGCATTAACTGATGGCACTGCAGTGCCTCTGGCCGGGTGGTCACCGTCTTTATATCTACTGCCTCAAAGTAAGGAAGTAACTTAAGTGTGCAAAGCGAGAGGTGAACGTAATGCGGCCGATAGCGAAACGTAGGCAGGTCAAGGTGGCGGCAAAGGCTGCCGGGCACCACTAACAACAAAGCAGCGATAACTACAACCGCACATGCGCCACACATCCATTACTATCTGCGCCACCATGTCCTGTCCTTATTATGCACTCTGCCTCCGGAAACAAGAAAGCAGGAACGCCACGGTTCCCTTGTCCGCAAGAACACTTTCACTGATTCAGGGCGGAAAGTGACAACGCTCTTTTTTACGACTCGTAAGAACGTTGATTCAAATTCTGGATTTGCCGCGAAGATCGAATTCTGGATGTGTTCAATAGCTTGTAAGCTATCGAGAATACGTGGAACTAGTTTCGAAACGTTACATGCTCTCTTATAACAATATTATAGTATAAGAAAGATTTTCACATCATGTATTCACATTAAAGTTTCCAAATGGCGCGTCATCTAAGTCTAGGAGGTGCAGCCAACACGTTTCCCTAGGGCGTCAATAGAAAGAAAACAAAATACCATGGAAAAACTTTATTGTTGCAGACACAGCATTTGTTGCACTATTTTTCCGGATAAACTCGAGCACAATTGAGACATTTGTTTTACTATGGGATCAACATTTGAATCCCTGTGCCGCAACAATCTACCGCCACACGGGTTAAGAATCATTGACAGCCACCTGTAACTACGCTTCATTCTGATACAAACAATGCAGAGCAGACACGAATTTCTTGAGGTGCAAGAAAAGGTGGAAATCGCAAGGAAGACATTACCTGCACAACGCATCACGCGTCGCTTGTTGAGGATGACGCTTCGCAAAATTTACAGTCACGTTCAGCGCCCACCGTCGCACCTCTAACCAGAAACAATTAGCAAAATGCCGTTTCTGACCCTGGACGGTTAATACTTTTCTCATCGACATAGTTTGCTTGAATTTTGTTTTGGTCGGAGATTCAGGTGGCGCCATTGCACATACTGTATTTCTACATGTAATGCTATTTCGTCTTTGAGGTCATGTTTCTTTAACTGTGACAATCCGATCCCTAAAATCGTCACCATCATCGTAGTACCTCTCCAGAAATTTCAATGCTGACCCCATGAGCTTTGATTTGTATTCGTGTGCCGGTTGCTTCGGCACCCACCTCGAATACACTATTACCCGCGCAACTTTGCTTGACCGATGGCCTAATTATTAACAATACTGGTCATTCGTATTTTGTATTTTTTTTAAATCAATGATCGTAATGAACTGATTGGGTGATAGAGCAAACTATGTCAGTAACAAAATAATGTTTTTCTTTAAATTAACGACTTTTCAGAATCAATATTTCTAATGAAAAACCCCTTCTACATTTCGCATTCAGGAATTCGAAAACATACTGATCAGTTTCGTTTAGGACGTCTGTCGATTTTTTTCGCGTAGGGCTTTTATCCAGCAGACAGCTACCTTTTACTGGTTACTCTTTACAACCCGATGGGAGGCATATTCGACCATACAGTAGACACCCACACACACACTGATCTGTAGTTAGCAGAACGTGAGGCCCTCCGTGACCACACTTACTCGTACACGAGAGACGAGGGACAAACCACCAATCCCAAGGCGGGACTTGACACCACGACCGTTCGGATCAAAGTGCTGGGTCGGTACACGCTCTTAGCGACCTTGCCTTCCAGGTCGGCTATTTATTGAATATAAAATTCGCAAATAAGTGAAAATTAAGCAAATTATTGTTGGCAAGAACCATCAACACTCTCGGAAAGTTTTCTGATGGTTTAATTAATTCACATAGGTTCTTTCCTTCCACAACTGAACAAGGAAAAGGCACAAAACGGTAATCGTAATCAGCTCCAGAATTACAAAAACTTACGTAAGTAAAATAACTCCACCTCCACAAAGAACACAGAATGCCCTACTACACAGTACTTTTCACAATAATATCCAACGCATTTGCCGAGAAAAATGGCGCCATGGATCACCTCAATGCCAAAGGAAGTCCTCCGTCTAAAGGCGAATATATACATCATGTACCTGGTGCGTATGAATGTCACGTTATTACTTTCACGCACGCACACTCGCCTTCCTAAAAATACAGCCCGCAATCTATTACCCGTAAGAGAAACCACTTTCCGGATGCGTTACGATTACAACAGCACTGATGCACCCACGACGTGTAGTAGGGGAGAGCTTCAGCCCATAAAACCCATCGACACAACGTGAGGTTAATTATGATATGGATTCAGAATTCCTTCAAATTTAGTCTTTATTCAGCTCATTGTGTGAATTTTGAGAATGTCCCGAGATGTAGCCTAAAATTATGTGAAGCATATCCTATACTACTCAGACTACAAAAACTAGAGATGCTACAACAGCACATTTTCTCGTATTATTCGAAAGGCATCATATTGAACTATTGTAATTTCTGCCTCCACTACCTCAGCTTTGACTTAAAAAAATACAATTCAACCAATTCAAAAGAAGCGCTTGTCTGTATTTCTGCGTTTATTTTGATAGTCAGTACTTAAAAATAATTGTTTCTTATTTTTACAAATGAAACAAACATGAACGTATTTAACTGTTCATACAGAAAAGCAAGAATCATTTCTACAAGCTTCCCTGATTACGTGGAAGAGAACTCCCAATTTTTGAATGTCTTAAACAGCGATCAAAACAACTTACAGCAAAAGTGTATTGTATTTGCTAGTTCTAATTAACCTTTAAAAAAATGAAATTTTTTTATGAAAGTAACAAAGAGCGATTAAAGATGTGCTATTGTCGCACCACTAATTTATTTAACGTCTTAAATACGTGAGAATCAATATATCGCATTGGTTAGGTGAAAAACAACATTGAGAACAATGTCACAAACCACAAATCCACACAAGAGTTTTGTGAGAGATGTGTTATGCCGACGCACTCCAATTCAACTCCGCCATACTATGCACACAACCTCATTGGGCAGCACGATGCCGATTGTCAACATGAGAAGCCTATGAATCACAGCTCCACTTTTTCCCAGCGACGCGACACGTCGGCGGCGTTCGTGGGGAAGGTGGAGCAATAATCACGAGATCGGTATTTCCAGTGATGAGCAAAGTGCCCCACAGAATGGTGTTCGAAGTGTCGATATTTTTAGACCTCATTACCCTAGTCTACAAAATAAATATTTTGCGCTTGATTTGCACAGAAGTAATGTTACATATTAAGTAAGTTACATATTAAATACATACACATATTACATATTATTGTAAGTTACATATTAAAATTTGTCGATGAAATTTTCAACTCGATAACAACACTGACGAACGCTTTGTATTTATCTTCCACATTTCATTTATTTTAAAGTGAACACACAATTCATTTATTTTAAAGTGAACACGGTTCACAATGTCGAACGACTTGCTTCAATCGCACCCTGCCACAGTAAAGAGTAAACTTGGTGATGGTCCCCCTCTCCGTTGGTTCGTGCTTACATGAGAATACCTCGCAATCACATCGCACGTAATAGAGGTAATTGAAAGAGATGTTGTGTTTACGATTAGGAATCAATGTATGACCGAAAAAAGAGTCCACATAATAGAAGAGTATTATCTTCGTGGACTCTTCATTCTTCACAAATTCCTCAACGAAAGTAAATGAACAAGTTGACCACAACTTCAAATAATACAAGCAAACTAACATTTTAAATGTTAAATACATTTAATTGACAATATAAAAGTTTAAGATACTTAGTAAAGAATTTAGTGCATCACACAAGATGAAAAAATTATCTAAATTATTTCGCATCACTAACTTCAGAAGAAACTGGATCAAATTAGAATATGAGAGATCTACATTTACTAGATCCATATGAAGAGATAAATCTATAACTGTCTAAGATTCAAATACATTACAATAGTCATCTCGCTGTTATCCCACGTTGCCTCTTCGTGGACGAAACTTCCATGAAGTTCCGATTAACATGCTAGGTTATACAATTACAATCCAAATATTTTACCATACACACTACAGTCAACACTAACGTCATTGTATTGTTTGATCAAAACGTTCCGAAAGTTTATCGTACCGCGAAAAATGACTTAAAACACCTAGATAGTACGAACATCCCCCGAACTTAGCACAAAGAAACAACGCAACAGGGCACAAAGCGAACACATCAACTTCCCCATAAACCCCTTGCAAAATTCAGTTCCACCGTCACGATACTCAACTGCGGCCCAAACTGTGGAAACAGCCTGTCAGAAGTCGAGGTACGTAGTTATTGAGTACGCAGGTGCTCTACAGCTGTCCAGGAGGGTGTCCTATTTGACAAGATACGAAATGGACGGTTCGGCACCTCTGATGGTCACTAGACAGGTGTAGGAGGTGCCATTGCAATGTAGAACGGATCACATCTCTGGATGATCGCCAAAGGCCATTTACCGTGAAACTACGATTCCATTGAATTAAAACAAAAGGTGAAATGCCACACAAACTTTTCATTCATAAGCTCGAATGGTCGCCAAGTTGACAACTAATTTCATGAAGAAACAAGGCTCAGAGCAAACACTCGCTCAGTCAAACTTCGGGAGCGTTCCAACCAAATCGTCCATAGCGTAAAAGGAAGGTGCTGCAACCGCTGGCGGATCCAGATTGTTCATGCCCCCCCCCCCCTTCTTAATGCTGTATTTTGGGGTATTTACTAGAAAGAAATCTATGGAACAATATCCAAAATTGCCATGTTAAAAACTTTACAACCCTTATATTTTTTCATGATACTGAATCACCTTAACTTGAATGCCACATCAATAGCCAAATCTGAACATTACAAACACATGTTAATTGCCTCAAGCCCAAAAGCTTTATTTATAGTACCAGTAACTTATTGCAGAAAATGAACTTTCTTTTAATAAAATAGATTTTTCATTTTTCAACACATATGCAAACAGTAAACATGTTGAATTCAAAAAAGTGTAGCATTTGAAAACATCCTTCTTTTATACAAACTGCAGTTTCTTCTTGGCAGTAACCTTGATCTTAGATACCAATATGTAAAAATAACTTTTGGAAAATACCTCACTTCCTTACTTATATACTCTCTGACCTTACTCCGAATCAAGTACCCTCTCTATCCTTATTACTGCACATATAAACTAAGGTTCGTGAGCTACGTACATCAAACAAACCAAATAGATTTCAATGTTTTCTAATAAAATTTTAAAGACATTCAGTTGAATCAAGCAATAGTCTCTTAAAATTATTTTACGATTTCTTTTCCTATCTTCACATGTTAAAACATAATTAATGAAAATTTGACTTACCCTACTACAAAAGATGAAATTGTGGTGCCAAGCAATGCATATGTCAAAATTGCTCCCAGATTGCGAAAAAAATATTTCTACAAGAGAGACAAAATTATAAATGTATAAGAATGTTATTAACAATAAAAATCATGCATACTTAAGAAATTTTTAATTCATTATTAAAGAGGCAAAAAAGAATAAATACTTGCTGACAAACCATTAAGGTAAATTTTTAAAAATTAACAATATTCATTTTATAATATAGGTGTTTTCAGGTACATCTTAATTCAAGTTTTTACATTAAAAGTAAAGCAAATTCAATACAATAAAAAATACTTCTTTAAGTTATATTGCCTTGAACACTTCAAAAATATGGTACTTACTCTTTTAAGACTATATCCAGCATGAAATATTATTGGTGGTAGAATGATATTAAAAAATATCTCTGGATCAAAAGTAGCCTACAATAACAAATATAAAATAAATTATTATCATGCAAAATTTTGAAATGGCAAAAATTTTGGATTTTAAATGATCGCATCTTAATTTATAATTTCACTTTCTCACTTGCACTCATCAGAATCAATTTTGTTAAAAAGATCTGGAACTTCTTCAAAATCAGCTAAATTTTCTCCTAATAATTAGCTGGAAAATTTATTACACATTACATAACTAAACATATACCTTTAAAAAATATCTTGAGGATATAATTGTATTTTCATGTACTTTTTTTTATTTTAAATTTATTACAAAAAATTATCTTTTACAGAAATAATAATTGGCTGTTCCTTTTCCCCAGGTCTTTAAAACTTCTGGAAGCTGTAATGTTGAACTAAATGCGCATTTTGGGCATTAAATATTGCAATATTTATAAAGATAGTCAATTCCCTCTGGTGACAGTGGTTTTGCAATACTAGGTTTTTATGCAGGTCTTTTAAATACTATTAAGTAAAGCTAATCCAAATCAAATGCGACTCCAGCAATTTCAAAATTCCAAAACTTTTTAACAAAAATACTTTCACAATCAAATTGACTTGCTTTCTTCGTATAGAACTAAGTAGCCATAAACGCTTCAGCATGCACAATTAGTATAAAACAACCTTGATTCTGACAACGCATTTTTACGCCAAAAAATATTTGCAGATATATTCTTGTCCTTTTAACCCGTCCTACAGCACTTCCAAGAAAATTAACCTAAAGTACAGTGACTATCCTAAACAACCCGAATTTCAAATATCACAAATTCAGTTACTATTCTTACCTTTAAATCAATTTCATTATCTTCAACATCTACAATTTCACCACGAAATGTATAGGCATATGTCTTGTTAGGAGTAGGGCCTGCTCCTTTACCAAAATGTCTCAACCATAAAGTGTCAGGAGGCAATGACTGATTGTATGAATAACCCTTTTCTGGAACAACTGGCATATGATACCCCGTACTTGTATTACTGCTAGTGCCAGTGTAACGTATTAAAGCACCAACAATAAGACCTGAAAATTAAAATCCACAACTATCAGTACCAATATCTGAATGCACTGTTGTTTTGGCATGATTTATTCAAAAACATTAATACAACTCTAAATATTTGCAAACATTTTCTCAAGAACACTTTTCACCCCGTGAGTCAGATTCCTCAAACAGAAATATATCTCTGACATGACAACAAATTCTTCCACAATGTTAAAACAAAAATGCATCTATATTCAGAAATGTCAAGTATAGTATATTTACCGTAAATGACTGCCAATCCGGTTTCATGAAGAAAACGTAGTCGACGATGCTTAAATAACCAAATAGTTAATACAGTTAAGATCAAAAGAAATGTATATAACAAGAGATTCAAACTGTCAATGCGATGAGTTAGTAGCGCTCTGGCATCTAATTCAATATCTGTGGGTGCTCCATTTGTGTACAACACGCACACTAGTTCAATAATGATAAGTAACCAAAATCCACAAGTAAACGCCATTTTTAAGTAAACTGCGCTATTGTAATCGAAAACACTGTAATTCACGAAATCACATTACGTCCGTCATTCTTCCTATGTTCACAAGCACACAGCCACTGCACAGCCCACACAACCAAATACAACTCCTGAACAACTCTTACGGAATTGGATGACAGAATACTAACAGCAGTTCTGTAATACCGATGACACGGACACTCCTTGATTGGCCAAAAGGTAGCGCTGCAAGCACCGACTAGATGCCCTCTAAAGACGATAAGATAAACTAAAAGAGCGACTTTAACAAAAGGGCGCGTCATATAATTTTTTTTCTGGGATGGAAAGAACGATGTGATATAAGTTCGTGACAGAAACAAGCGTTTGTTGATTGACAATCAAATGATAGAGAAGATAGATAAAAGACTAAAAAATTACTTATAATTTTGGCATATATTTGTATAGCATTGTTATCAATGAGATGAAGTCCCAATATTTACATTAATTCTAAAACACAAATGACTTTAAACCATGCACCAAAACAACATTCCTGCAATAATCATTTTTTTGTCTTGCAATTTACCACGAATATGTTGGAAGCGCGTGTTTCTTTCTTTACGCAATGAGCATGAAATCTATTTGTGTCTATTGAACTGGACCTTTTTCAATTATATGACATTCTCTCTAAAATTCATAGTAAACGTGACATGTTCCCGACTGTACCCCACAACTGACAAGAAAATGATTGGAAATAGATGAAACCAATGCTCCTTGATTGACTCATTCACATGAGTATAAATAATACCATTTGTTTATAATCCTTAGATCATAGAGCTTACAATCTCCCTATAAACAATCATTAGGGTGCACTTCAACATAATCATACGTCAGCGAGAACCTTATCTTCGAAGTGTCGACCCATGTTATCAGTGTGCAAAGTTCTTTTTTTGTCGAGCTGCCATTCAGATATAAAATGCCGTGCGTGATTCATTCAAACTCTAGTAAGAGACTGATGAAGGGGAAGATTTTTTTACAGAAAATTTGTACTATTTACATTATCTGGTGGTTGAATGTTTTTGAGTTTTTGTTCGTAAAAACATCCTCGCACGTCCACGCGTATTCACTCGAAGGAATACTAGAAAACGGTTGTTATATAAGTTGAAAACACATTAATAACAAAATTATAATAAATTTTAAACAAAAATATGGAAATCGTGTTCGATCAGTGTGTTTAAGCAGTATCTGAGCAGTATGTTCAGTTGAAGAGCAGAGTGTAAGTAGTGAATTATGGTTAGGTTTCTGTATTCTTATTACCAACTTAAAATACCAAATTGTCATTTTGTACAACGATTTCCAAGATTGTCTTCGTAGTGATAGGAAGGACCTTTCAGCGAGTCGTGTGCATGCCCTGTAAATCGAGTGCTTAAATACTTCTTGCCAACTCTATAAGATGTACCGGCGTGCCAACATATATTTCGAATATTGTCATGTATTGAGTCGTTATCAGTAACTCACGAAAATAATCTTTCCCGCTTCCCAGCTGATTGGTAGTGAAGATGACATGTTATTCGATCATCGACACACGACGTTACAATGAAACAATTTTCATGTGTGTATTCTAGGTTATGATCTCATCTTAGAAACAGACCTCGTGAAACAAGAATGCATTTAAAAAAGTTTCCCTACGCTACCCTTGCTGACGCAACAAGTCTTACGTGACGATTGTGCACGCGCGTTTACGCCAGCGTAGCAGAGAAAAGCAGTATTTGTTTTAACAGTTTTTGGAGAATAATTTGTAAGTTATCTATACAATCAAATGTGTGCCTGAAGGACATGTCAACGAAATTTAAATTGTTAATGTAGCGTTGTATGTGATATGCCCGACGAGGAGGCACATGTACAAAGAGCGACAAGGTATGATTTTTTTTCCGTTATGTGAAATTAATGAATGTTATTTGCATAAGCTTTACCACGTGTCAATTTTGTTTACAGTGTGACTGAGGAAACACCACTTCTTCTGGGTGATAATTATCTCTGTTCCAATTGTAATTGTAATACAATGAAGCATTTCAGCTGGTGTAGATGTCCCGTTAAACTGGCAGAACGTAAACTATTTTTTGATTTATTGGCTGTACTCTTTGGCATTGGAGCATGGATTGCTGTGAATGGAATGTTTGTGCAACTCCCTTTGTTGGTTCAAACACAGCCAGAAGGATGGGATTTACCTTCATACTTATCTGTAATTGTTCAGATTGGAAATATAGGACCAATTTCTTATAGTATTTTGCAAAGAATGAAAATAAAAGACAGCATTGTAATTTATCTTATTTTAATATGCGGATGCTTAGCTTTGTTACTTATGTCTTTCTTTTACAAAAATACTGTTCTTGTGCACGATAAATACTATAGTGTACCTCTTTTTGTGTTGGCATTTTTTATTGCTCTTGTCGGCTGTACTAGTTCTGTATTGTTCATGCCATATATGAGTAATTTTCGAGATATATATTTAATATCTTATTTTGTGGGAGAAGGTTTGAGTGGCCTCTTGCCCAGTGTTGTAGCTTTAATTCAAGGAGTTGGTGGAAACCCAACATGTATGACCATAAATACTGTCAATGGAACAGAGGTGGTACCAGTAACAGCTCCCCCACGTTTCACCACTGAATCATTCTTTATTTTTCTGTTTGTTACTTTAACAATAAGTACGTTTGCATTTTCCCTTATGAATAATTTGCCGTACTGTGTAAGTGAAAGAGTTAACCCCCTTTATTCTTCAAGGAGATTCCGATATTCTTCTTCCACCAGTGGAGACGGGTCTCCTTGTTCTCAAGGAGATGATGATCTTCAATTAGAAAAACAAAATGAGGGAAGAGGAAGTGAAAGAAGTCCTAGTTTTCAAAATAATACAGCAGCAGTTTCTGCTCCTTCTTCTAACTATACTATGTTGTTATTAATTATAGCTTCTTGGGTGTGCTTCTTGGGAAATGGTGTTTTCCCAAGTATACAGTCCTATTCTTGTCTCCCATATGGTAACGTTGCATATCACTTATCAGTCACTCTTGCTAGTATGGCTAATCCTTTAGCATGTTTTGTTGCTTTTTTCATACCCCAAGCTTCTGTTAAAAGTATTACTTTCTTGACTGTTTTAAGTTCAGCTGTTGCTGGTTACATTGCCACTACAGCTTTTACTAGTCCTGTACCTCCTTTGGTTAATTCAGTTGCTGGGGAAGTGCTTGTGGTAAGTTCTTCAAAATATAATACACAACCTTCTATTTTGGTGTTATGTATATGAACTTAAAATTAACATTGTTTATCTTTTCAGGTGCTTTCATGGATTGCATTTACAGGATTAATAACGTTTGTGAAAGTCTCAATAGCATCAATATTTAGACAAGTATCGGGCAGAGCTTTGTTTTGGTGCGGAGCATCGCAACAAATGGGTTCTGCTGTAGGTGCAGTAATGATATTTTTGTTAATTAATGAAACCAAAGTGTTTAAGTCCTATTCACCATGTGAATTTTCAGATATTTTTTAGAGATTTTATATAATTTATTTGATTTGAATTTTAGAAAAATACGATTTGCAAATGTTTGTGATTAAAATATTTTAATCGGTATTATAGTGAAGCAATACGGCAAGTCACTAAAAATGTTTTAGCAAACTTCAGAAAAGATTTGCAATTACAAATCTTGAATTTATTAATGAATGAGGCTTGTACTTGGTAGCTCAGGGAATGACTGTTGAATAAGCAGGCTGAAGGTTGTTGTGACGAATGCAGTTATCAGTATTAGGAATTTAAGAATATTCTTAAAAGTTTTAATAGAATTATTTTCAAAATCTAATTGATTGATGTAAATGTTTGTTATTGAACTTGTTTGTTGCACAATGTTATAATAAAATTATTTTGTTTTAAAATGTTGAGAAATTCAAGAAATGGATAAACTAATAACCTTTATTCCTGAAAAATGTAACTGAGTAATTCCTTGGTCCTTATTAAGAAAATATTTACATCATAAATATACATAACAGGATTATGCGAAGTGAACTTTAAGAATCCTTTTGACCAAATGATATTTGCAGCTAATTCAAAAGTATCAAAAAATGTTCCTTCAGAAGGTGAGAAATTTTTTTGTATAAACACTGCAATTTCTATGAACATAATTACATTTGTTTATTTTAATGTTCATTTTATTGTACTGTGATGAAAGATTTTTTGAATTATTTCAAAATTACTCAAATATTTAAACTACTGTCATGGTAAAGAGTGAAACTTCCTAAACTGAAATAAATTTTTGTTGTACATTTTTGCCCCTAAAAAATGTAGACATTGACATTTCACATAGAAGTACTTAGACCAGAAACATGATTTTGAGCTGGGGGAGAGGGGAATTTACATAATTTGCATCGAAGCAAAACGAGGGACCAAAGCATTTGTTCCGTGGATCATGTTAAAAAAATAAACGCCTGATTGAGTTTGCGTTGCTGGTGCGCCCTAAAGCATTATTACGCAGGACTAGAAGTACAAAAGAACCCTGGCATTCTGAACTAATCGGGAGTGTTGTCTGTTCGTATTATCCGAAAACACGTACATACCGTACACAAATACATCTATATTATTACCCAATACTATGCATCGTAACTTGCGATGTAAGAAAATGGCAACCGAGCGTGGTGATCGCATCATCAATTAAATTCAGTTCCTTACAGCAAACGAAGATTACCGATTTTGCAAGTTCCTCGACATGCAAATTACTGCTACATAAACATGTGATATACACCGTGGTTACTAGTGCAATAAACGTTTCATTCCGATAACTTTTATTTCAATAATTAGTTATTCAGTAATTATAAAATCCTTTCTTTACACTACAAATAAGCCTTTTATTTATGTTTATTTTTCTTCTATCCCGAAATTTCGGACTTGCGGGGTTCGTTTTAGCCAGGTTCTGCTGTTCTAAGAAATTAATTCGGGCTGTAAGCAAATACTAGAGACAATACATAAAGCTGCCATATGACGGGAGACATTTGAAGTTAGTTGACATCTTCGCTGTCCGGGTGACGCCGCGTTGAATGCTGTATTGCGACGTTTGACCATCTCGTGGTCTTCCTCATGGCTGGTTTGTCCAGACTTGAGGAAGACCGCGAGAAGATGGTCGAAACGTCAGGAACACAGCCTTCGAAGTGGCGTGATCCGGACAACCAAAATCTCGCCTCTGGCCGCAGAAACCTACGACTTCATTGGAAGCTAGTGGCCCGACCTGGTATAACCATTGTGAAATCGAGTATAGAAGTGTATAAGTTTGAAACTATTTTATATATATATATATATATATATATATATATATATATATATATATATATATATTAGTTATCTTCCATTTCACAGAGTGATTAAAACATTTTCGTTTGGTCAGTTTTTTATAAGGCTATGAAGGTGTAATAGATCGCACAAATTGTGAATTTTAGTAGAATCGTTTGTTGTTGTTTCGACATCCTGTTGGACTTGCTTTATTATATAAATATTTATTTTCCAATGAAATGCGGATATTAAATTATCAAATCACTGATTTGTATTGCTTGTGATATTGTACATTTATATTTTTTAAAAATATACAATTTAATATGTTCTGTAAATATAAAATAAATACTCTGTATTTGCGTACGTATACGATAAAGTACAAATAAATAGTAATAGTAATAATTACACAAATAGTAGGTTTATTGTTTTGTGTAAGGCCGTTCTGAACCCCCCCCCCCTTTCGCACCGTGTGCGCAATGCTGTTCCTGGCAATTATTTAACGAGCGTCCTTGTGAGTTGTGAAGTGTGTGACGAAAGATCTCAAGAGATTATTGTACTACTGCAGTCGATAAACGACGTAAGAATTTTCAATATTAATTTTTCTTTCATTAGACAATGAATACAGTGCAAAATTAAATAAAAATTCTTTTTGATTCACGCTCTATTGAAGAAAAATTAGAAATTAATAAATTTTGAAGGTTTAACCTAAGACTAAAAAATGTAAAATCAATGAAAAAACGCATTGACGAAAATATTAATATACCAGAAAAAGATGGATGTATATATGTGTGTGTTCGTGTTCCAGGTTAACTCTTCAAGGAGAGAAGTATGCCATTTCAACAAAACTTGGTATACTATATTTCTGGGGAATTGCTGTTAGAAAATATTACTATTTTTAATTTACATTTTCTTATACAGCGAGGCAAGCGCTTTAAAAGAGCGATAAGAATGGCAACTTAGCACGCCTAGCCCAAAGTCACAAACTGGCGAGCGAGGATGCTCTCCCTAGAGACCTCAATAATAAATAGTTATTGTATTCCATGAAAATGGGAAAATAGAGGTATTGATTAGAAACAAGTTATTTAAAATTAAGAAAAAATTACAAAAAGTAAGTTTGAGAAATCATGCGTTTCTCTTTAGGGTAGTTTAAATTTCTTTTATCCCTGTGAATAAGCTGATACGTCTGAAAACTTACTTTTACAGGAGAGCAAACAGCCAAGTTGGCGGGTCCAAACCCAATCGAAGCCGTGGATTTTTAAGGGCGAAAAAATCCTTCGTACGCGTTCCTTCGGTGGGGGAAGTAAAGCCGGCTGTCCCATGTTAGTAGATTTACTTGCGTGTAAAAGATCAAGCCTAAATGACGCCTCTGAGCTAAATTCAAATCGCCTGTTTCTCGCCCAATACCTCATTTCTCTGCTAGTTGGTGAAAGGAGCCTAGCGAAATTTGCGTGGTCAGACGGAAGAGCAGGCCTCATGGTCTGAGTCTCGCCACGTAAAATAAGGCATTAATTCAATTCTTTCAATTCAATTCAATAAGCAACACTTAACTGAGGTATCTCAGATATTAATGATATTCAAACGAAAGTATTAGTGAGTAGGTTCCGTTTGAACATTATTAATCGCTGATTTACATATCAATTGAAAGTTGTTCTTTGCTTTCCTGTAAAATTAAGTTTTCGTCACTTATCAGCTTATTTACCCTTTGGGAATCTGGATTTGATTTGTTGGTGTTTGTTAAGTTTTTCCAAGGTTGAATATGGAAGTTTCAGTGGAGGATAGTAAGGAAAGGAAAGAAATATTGATTGGTGACTGAAATAATGATCAATCGTGTGAAGAACAAACTCTCTGTCGACCTAGCGTACGATTTTCTGCTGTCCGAATAATCTCGTTACTAGGGACGCAACGTCGCCAAGACAACACCAACGTTTCTAAACATCGATGTTCAAAATTAAAAAATCGATCTAAAGTCCATAGATGTTTTTAAAATTGGATTAGTATCCATTGAAGTTCATGCGGGGGAGGGGGTAGATTTAATTTGAAAATGGTATCGTTTATTAATTTTTAATAGAGATTTAACTGACAAAACAAAGTCAAGAAATCGTCAGGACAATTAACAAATCATGAATTATCTGATTCGATAATTAAGAAATTATAGAGTCTTCTTTATTGACGAAAACTCGATTTAATTAATTTTAATTCTTTGTTTTGAAGAATAACCAATTTTTGGATATCTGAAAAGTAATATTGATTTTTTTACTCGTATGATGGAACTTTTTTCATGCGAAAAATATCGACCTCGTAAAAACATCGAACACAAAACTTCGATGTTAAAAAAACATCGGTTTAAAAAATAGATGATTTTATAAAAACGTCGATGTTTTGAAAATATCGACATTGAAGTCTCATCCCTATTCCGTACATGACACGATTGCGATCCTTCAGTGTTATTGCGCTCCGGTCATACGTCCGCTGCCCACGTGCCCGTCTTTTCATCTCTTTGTCTTCACGCAGCTATCATTTCCTCGATCACCGGCATGCTCGAGCTTTGGTGGCTCAGGACAACTACTGATGTCACTGCAATGCCTAGGACCGGGTGGTCCTAGGGGTTCGTCCATAAATTACGTAAAGCAAATTTGGAGGATTTTGAATACCTCCTCTCCTTGTAACGCACCCGTAACGCGCGTTTGAACCCCTCAAATAATTACGTAATGATTGCGTCACCCCTCCCCCGCAAAGAAATAAAAAAAGAAAGCAAGAAGTATGCAAGAAGTAAAAACTATTTGTAATAATTTTATTCATATTGTGTTTTTAAAACGAATTAATTAGTTAATGTTTTGGAATTATAAGACTAAAAAAGGAATTATTTCAGTTGAAAAACGTTAAAAATAGTTTTACGTAACAATAAATTATTACCATCAAACACAGCGTAACGCTGCCTCAAACACCCTCCCCCTGTTTAGCGTTACATAATTTATGGACGACCCGGTTCGAGTCCCCACGGTGGCAGGATTTTTGATACTAGCGAAATTGCTAGGCCGAATTCAGCCGTGACTGGAGAATAATTCCAGCGGCCCACTGCTCTGAACGGTAGTTTTCTGGGGTTTCGCCTATTAACAACAGGCGAATACCGAAGGATTACTCTAACAAACGGGCCACGGACCGCGATCTTTCTTTTCCTTGTCCCTTCTTTCCCTTCCTTTTCCTTGTTCTACCTTCATTCCTTACTTACACTTACACACACACACCACTACCACACATGTCGATAGTTTGAAAACTTTGAAATTTTGAACGGTATGGATTAAATTTTATGTCAATCCGAGCGTTCAGCTCAGCGAGTGTTGGAAGTGAGAAGAGTTTCTTTGGAAATACACCGCCGGCAAACCTCGTTTAGGATTAAAACCACGGTAGACCATAATCACATCTTTCTAGGTCTCACTTGGCGCAATGAAGAAATCAATACGAACCAACGGCACTGAAGTCCGTGCAATCGAGCAATACGAAAGGAACTCCCTGTGCATTATGTGAAATTCATTCTCGCAAGCGCCACTTATGACATGGCTGGTCCCGCCTACGGAAATTGAAAACTCGGAAAATTAAAAACCTGGAATCACCGTCTGATCAACATTCTTTTACGTGCTCAAAGA